TCCTGGCTCTGAGGAGCCGGTCTCAGTGGTCCCCTGTGCCTCAGGTACCCCGCCACTGCCAAGGTAAAGTGGAAGGGGTGACTTTGCTTAAAAACAACAGGAACCGATAAGCAGCCAAAAGGAAAATGTGTTTCTCAAGGAAAGGTTAACTAGGAACTGCTCATATTTCAAGCTAATCATTTTAATTGTTCAAATTACAGCTGACAGCCAGAGTCCCTCTTTGGGCTCTAGCTACACTCACCCACTGAAAGGTACTGCTGCACCAGAGGTGGATTTACTAGAAAGCCTTATTATCCCCACTTTCCCTCCCAAATCCTTTCCAAACCAGTACTTTTTAGAGGGCTGATTCCTGAAAGTAGTTGGTTCTTTCACCTTCCTAAAAGGCAGAGCCGTGTTAAGTGTGCTGGCCACAGGGGAGAGTCATTGTGGTTCCTCGTGGCTTCCAAGCTGCACTCCCACAGCTCTGCTCAAACAGCAAAAGGTGGGCAGGGTGAACGTTCAGAGCCTGGCCTCTTCGCTGCTCGTCCCGCGGGGTTGTAGGGAGCACCCCAGAATGCAGGGTGGGTCCCTGTGCCTGCCTGCCTGCAGGGAGGGATCTGGCTTGCGGCCTGGGGGTTGTGACAGCAGCTCCTCCCAGCTCCTCCCTTTCCGCCCTGTGGAGCTCAGCTCCGTGGCTGCAGCAGTAGCCGCTACGGCCTCTGACCAGCACAGCTGCCAAAAGGAGACGTGTGACATGGGAACTGGAGGCAAAACCATTTGGGCTGCAGGCGCCTTTGTCTTCAGTTTCAGAAGACTGATAGAAACAGGCAAATAAGTAACACAGAAAAATGATGGGTGTGGACACAGGGTGGGTCTTGATTTTTTTGCTTGTTTGCAGGGGACATGGGGGCAGAGAGGGGTGTAAAGCAGAATATTTATTTTTTAACAATGGCATTTGTTTGCCTGTTTGGCTTTAAAAGGCGATCCTTTGCTCGGAGCCCCAAACCTAGTTCCTCAGAGTAGAGTCTGGCTCCAAAGGAGTCAAGTGGACCTCATTTTTATAAAATCAGTGTCACAGGGAAAGACAGGATGAAGTCACTCATTGCGGGCGAGCTCTCCCTCAGGACCTGAACACAGGCACTAGAGGATCTCTCCCACCACCCCCCTCCCCTGCCCCTCCAGGTCACTCTGTCTGGGCCCACGTGCACCAGCAGCCCCAGATGGCGAGGGGTCTGTAAAAACCTACTACTACCTGTTGACTGATTCTAACGGCCTGTAGCTTGAGCTAAGTACATCATCACTTACTATGCTCCACTGAAAGGTGTTCAGAAATAATAGTCAAAAGGAAAGAGACCAGATCTTTAATGATACTTTCCATAAAACGGTTCAGGCTGGTGAAGCAGAAAAGGGATGTGATTACAACTTAAATGAAATCAGTCACTTGCACAGTTAATCCTCTCAGCATCATACAGACTAGGTTTTAGTGGAAATGATTACGTCACACACAACCATCACTCACAGAGGGCAGTCTGGAGTCCGTCACAGACCTGAGGGGGAAGGTACTGCACCCAGTGAGGTGCTGCACAGACCTTGGACCACAGCATGACGCCACCCACGCCCACCCCTTCCTGTGCTATGGGCACCTTCCCGTGGCCATACGCTCATCCCTTGGGACCCGTGCCCTGGATGCAGGAACGGACTTTGCTCAGGAGCTTCTCCAGGGCCTGTGTGAAAAGGCCACTTCAGCAACAGGGGGGGATGTGAGAAAGTTTAGGGGACGGTGGAGGTGGAAGTGGGATAAGTATATCTAAATAGGCTTATGTACATACACTAAACCAATGAAGAAGAGGTTTGGCTTTAAGAAATAAATATGTCCCCAACCCCAGAAACCAAGCTGCTGAGCAGGTTCCACAGGTGAGATGCACATTTAACACTTAACCAGGGCCCATATACTTTACTGGTTTTATTCTATTACATTTGTCATCACTAGACACTGAGTAGAATACAGTGGATAAGCAAAAGTTTCTCCACCATGGAGAGAGATTTGTGTTGCCACAAACTGTTTCTGTCACCCACCTGTGTGGGAGGACTTGTGAGAAAGTTTTCTTGTTCCGAGGAGCCCTGTGACTCGGCATGAGGCCCTGCCTCAGCACTGCTCTCTGAGCGAGAAGCCACAAACATGCTAGAGACAACACGGCACAAGGGAAGAGCCCCGAAGAGCACGAAGTCAGCTTTTGAAATAGGCGTGATAAAGCTGCACAGTTAAAATTTTCAAAATACAGATATAGGCACATTTACATCACTGGTGTTCAAGTGGACAGTTCACATGGATCCAATCACTTTTCCAAAGAACCTTCATGATATCCTTCAAACATGTCTGCTGAAGTAAAATCAAGAAATCAAAACACTACAGAATTCAGAGAGGAGATGTGTTCATTTCCTAAGCCAACAGTGTTGCCTGTGTGAGGACCACTTTCCCCAACAAAGTAGTCTAGTCTGTTGTAAGTTCCATTTGGTATAAAGGCCACTTTCCTCCATCAGCACTGCCCGAGGCTTTCTTGCTGGAGTTATAACTGCTGCCTGTCCAGAGACTAATGATTTAAGTGCAAATGTTAGAAGTTACAGCTGTGTACCTTCTAAACAAAAGAGCCTGGATTCATAGGAGCGAGATCAAAGGAGATGCACGTTTCAAGTTCAATGACATGTGGTGTTAATGCACTGATACAGTAGATCAAATTACGTGAAACTGTCATTTTTGTAGATCAAAAACAGTCAAATAGAATTTCACATGGCTCCACCTGTGTAATTTAACATTGTGAACTGTTTTAAATACGTTTCCCTCTTAATTCTAGGCGCTCTAAGTTGTAAGACTTAAACACGATGGCAGACCTTTTTTCTCTGGAGTGGAAGTGCAGACCAGCGTTGTCTGAGAGGGTTCACACAGGTGGAACTGTCCCAGACCTGGGCGGTCCTGTGCCACGTGTGGCTGCTGAGCATTTGAAATGTGGCCAGTGTGACTGGAGAACTGAATTTTTAATTTATTTTTAATTAAAATTAACATTTAACTAACCATATGTGGCCAGTGACTGCTGTATTGGACAGTACAAGTTTAGACATAATTGTAATTTGCTTCTAGTTAAAGTATATAGCAGATGTGTTCTGCTCTGAGAAAATGTGGGATTTATCCAGCTAATATTAAAGTGGAAATAGAGCACATCTGCTCCTGCAACTGCAAATATCCAACCTAGGAGGAGAGCCACCCAACTTTCTTTTACATTCATACACTTAAGAAATTATCTGGACTGTTTTTTTCTTTTAACAGAAAAACAAGAATAGCAAGAAGTCTGGTTGGCTGGCTTAACATGAAATACATTCTGCCCCTTGTAACAACTTGTAGAGAATTGGGAAGGGAGGAAAATAATGACTGGGACAAGAAATGAACATGAAAATGTGCCTGGTCCTATCCCACAGGCCTAGCTGGAGCTCCTTCCTTTTCTCTCATTAATTTGCACATCATACCACCAGCACCCCAAGATCCACAGGCTGGCTTGGAGCACTTGCAGAAAGCACGCTTACCTTCATTAGATGGGATTCTGGTTCCAGATTTCAGTTTGAGTTAAATCTAAATAGTGCTGGTGCCTATTTTTCTTGAATTTTTTTTTTTTTTTTTTTTTTTTCGGTAAGGGGGTC